TTTTCATTTAGTTTGATTGCGATATATCGGGGGGGGGGGCGCAGATTTTTGGGGCAGTATCGCAATATCGGTACTTGCCACGAGCACCACTAAGGAACATTTAAATGTTTATATATAAATATTCAGCAATTCTTTATCATTTGGCAGCTAAATGTGCAATGCTGAATGCTGATAATATTCAGCATACCTCATTTGGCCATTAATGAAAAATATGTTAATGAGCGATAGATGGAATGACTGAAGGTCATCATTATCTCCATGATTCATAAACGAGGAGAACAAAGGGGATATTCGTGACACATCGTTACCGGGGCAAATAACACTGACTGATTTTTTTCAGTGGCCCCATCTTTTTCTAGTATCTCTAAAGTGCTCTTTTTATTTCTGATAATTTCCTTTTTTGAATTGACACGTGCTTCTTTTCTTTTCTAATAAGTGTCAAAATTCCTTTTGATTAAGTGCCCCCATCTTCCTTTCGCCATAACATGTGTTCTTAATTAAAACGCGACTAAGAGCAACTTTTTCTTAAAATTCACCCAAAGCTCGCTCGCTACGCTCGCTTGCACTTAAAGTTGATATAATTATGTTTCTTAGAGGTCTTATTAGTATTTAATGATTAGATTGTGCTTAAAACAACTTCGGGATTATTTTTGCCCTTCTTTATAACATGTAATTTTTCGCACTGCGACCTCACAAATCTGATTTTTTTTTTTTTGCTCACTCGCATATGATTTTTCAGACCATCACACCCAACTGTATATTGGACAATGCATATTGGACGAAACAAATATTAATAATGTGATCACAATGTATGTGTCTAAAAATTGTATATTTTGGCCTTGAGGTTTCCCTTTGTAGGTACCCCTTTTTATCCAGAAAGTCCCCTTTTTGTCGATGCCCCCCCCCCACCCCCCCCCCCCCCACTTTGAAAGACGTTTCGCCACCCCTGATGTATGGGCACTTCAAATTGGCTGAATCGGAAATGTCAGAGTAACCTACGTAGTGCTTGACTAATTTCCAATTATTTTCAACACACAAAATTACTAAAAACGTCATATTTCCAATATGTATGACTATACACTGTAAAAAAATAATAGTCGAAATAACTCAATAAAATTGAGGAAAAGAATTGCCTTATTTTTATTAAGTAAATATTACCTACGGCATCTTAAGTAGAATTTACTTATTTTGCTGAATAAATTTTTTTACTCAGTTAAATCGAGTTACATTAACGTAAATAATTTAAGTATTGTAATCATTTTAGATAATTAAAAAAAAGCTGTGATAGGATTACATATTGCACGATTTGGTACCCATCTAATCTAACAAGTAACATCCACTAATCATTCACTACTTCTATTTAAGGTTTAACCGTATCTACCACCATCACAAACTATTACATACGCTTCAATTCGACACATATTGAAAGGCTCCAAATTTTATATATACTTGATCGTAGCATCTTAAAAGGAAAGTTGGTTGACAATTTCCTGAAATATCAAGTTTTGATTTGTTTTGAACTGGGTAACAATTAAAAATTGTCTTGTCTTTGCTTAGCCATGTTAAATGAATTAGTAAATGTTTTAAAGTCCTTAAATTTTCATTCAACCACAAAAAAGAATTGTTTTATTTAAAAAAGAGTTTAATTTGGTCTTAATGAATATTCATAAATTATGTAAATATTTCTATTACGCACTGCATCGGTCCTTACTTTAAAAAGATAAGAATAATCACCAGGCCATAAATTGTTTGTTTTCGTGCAAAGGAACTTGTTCCAAAGTTTCGATTTCACTTTAACATGGTTTACCGATGTTTGTTTTTTTAAATTAAAAAATAGCCGGTAACTTCAGCTATAGGGTACGGGGGCACATAACCCCCCCCCCCCATAAACGGGAAAAGAGAAAGAGAAAGAAGGAAGCCATCATGAACATTGTAATTTAGAAAATAATTCAACCCTTTTTATAACTACCAGTATTTCCTCCCCCTCTAATATTGCCTTATTTTCGTGTATTTCTTTATACTGCTATGCCTGATGCCCCACCCATCCCCCCCCCATGACAAGTGCCCCAAAATAATGTCCAGGCCCACGCTACGCCAAATCGCCAGTATCCAAAAATGGTAAATAGGTGTGAATTCCTTCCCAGACTAGGGGACGTTGTGCATCTTATGAGTCTGGGAAGTCCCGAGTCTCAGTTTCGTTTATTTTTTTCTCTTCAAATTTCACATTCACATTCCTTACCTATAAATCATAAACAATAAGCGATAAGAAAGAAAAAGGTTTCATTTAATATGTATATTAAAAACTACATTCAATGATACCAAGACATGAAAGTAATAATGTGTAGGCGGAATAACAGACGGAGATATAAATACAATTGTATGGTATTAAAACTGAAATTAGACAAATTTGTTTGCAGTGAAATATGAGGGAATTTAGATTTTAAAATATTTAAAAAAGCTATAGCTTGTGAATTGTAGAATCCCTTATATTAATGACAGCAGTCTATTATGCATGCTGATTATATTCAACAAAAATTTTAAAAACATTTCCTCATCTTACATCGCCTCTCTTTTTTCTTTATAACAACAAAAAAGAGCATTATGTATAAGTGCCATGGGATGAATCATTTATTAAATCTATCGGGATTTTGTAAACTGACCTACTGAAAATTGCACTTGTATTATTGTTATTATTTACTTATTTATTTTTAGGGGTGCCACTTTTAATGGGAAAAAGGGGTTTTCATGTCGGCTAAGGGTAGTCCCTATGGAACAATTTTTGTATTGTCATGCTTGTCGGTATTTGTAATATTCGGAGGGGGAGGGATTTCTTTTCTGATCTGAATTATTTTGGAATATATATCGGCATATTTGGACCTATTCGAGAATTCCATTATCAAATTTTTAAAAATGTTCTCGAAATAACCTTTCTGATTCACAGCACATGTACTTCAGGTTGGTCAATCACAATGGCCATAGGCAGATGGGTAGGTTTTGCCCCAATTCAATACCATGTAATATAATAATTTGAATGTGCTTTTATTTTGTTGTAAAGATCCGATCAGCCGTTATTATATTTTGTGAAAAAAATACTAGTGAACGATTGTTAGAGCTTTCAAGACAGAAAGGTAATTACATTGGTTTCATGCATTTCTTCTTTTTAATGGATTCATAAGACATTTTAATGTATCCAGTTGTCTGTTTAAAGTGTTTTAAAATATAAAATGTCTGTCCAAATATTCGAAATAAATCACATACGTCTCGAAGTTCCTCTTTTTGAAGAGGCGTAGTTTCTGTTTTTTCAGTAATTCCTTACTTTTGTTTACTTTCAGTCAACATCCACAGATGGCAAATTTCAGAGACCCCTGTACCGAAAGAGTTTGAGCAATTTGGGTCAGTTCAAAATATGGCACATTTTCAACTTTCTATAGTGCAATCCATTTTAGTCTGCCGTTTTCTTTATATTGTATCAATGCAAGTATACATGTTTATTAATGTATGTGAACTTGATTTGTTTAATTAATAAATAATTTATGCACTTACTTTATATTTGGCTCATTTTAATCAAGCTTATATTATAAGTGCTTTGTCTTTTCAAACTATCTTCTAGTCTTGTTAAACATGTCCACTGTGTGCTCATCCTGACTTTCTGTAGTGCAATCCACTTTAGTCAGCATTTTTCTTTCTACCCACACTTTTCTTTAACCCTTCGATCTAACTTGAAAATTGAAATTGTATCTTTTAGTAAGTTTTAATTTTTGTTTTGATTTTATTGTATCAGTGAAAGTATATTCATTTATGTGAACTTATCTTTTTTTTCCTCTTTTTTTTGGTGTAAAATAACCATTTCAGGTCTTCTTTATTTTTTTTCTTCATAATAATATAAACATATTCAAATTTTTAGCATTTGCCTCCACTTCTGGAGGGATATACATGTTTTTTTAAAATATTTTCTTCTATTTGTAAATGATAACTTAATAGGTAAATAAAAAATATGAAGAAGTCTCTTTTTAGTTGTTTTTTTAAAATTCTTTTCCAACAAAACTTTTGTAAATAGTAAAAAGTGCATAATTCAAAATAATATCAACATCTTTTTCCTTCTTTGAATTAAAATCAATACCAAACAATAGATGATATGGTTTGAAATTAAAATTAGATATGAAATATTTCTTTATAGTCCTTTCAACTTCATTCCATTCAGTCTTTTTAATTGATAAGTATATTTTTGCCCTTGCTTTATTTGGCTAATTTTGACCATGGTTAAATTTAGATTCAAACTGAAACGTGTTCTGTGTTTACGTACCCATTTTATTTAGTAGTAAATATAAATAACTGTATTGTGTATTTGTGTTTATGTTTCTATTGTATGTTGTAACTTTTTCAATGTACTTTGTCACTTGCCTACAGTGCTCCCTTGAAAAGCAGGCCTTGCTGCTCTGAAAGGACTACTATTTTAAAGAAGACTGAATAAATAAATAAAATGACTGGTCATGCAACGTTTCTGGAAACCGTCATCTGACCGGATAACAAATTCACCGGCATCCCTTGAAACGAAAGTATTATAATGAACACGTGTTTCAATAAGATGTCCGTGAACTTGATGAGGTCTCGAGAAACGACGCCCATATTCTCTTTCCACACTTTCATCAAATCGCACAATGTACTAGACACGAACGTACACGACAACTAGCTTTCGGTTTACATCTAACACAATCTCTCAATCTCAAAGCTTGCCCGTCACTGTCCCAACACATCCATCAAAGCATTATTTAACACCATGAGGACAACATTAAAACAAGTTCGCACAACGTTCTGCTCTTTCTTCAGTCCTTTCACATCGCATCCACCTTACGTACCCTCATCGGGATAAAATAATCACATACACAAACAGAGGAACTGCCTTTTTCAAACCAACTCAAACACACGTCATTCCATCTCCAAACTACTCAATACCACTATTATAGCACCCGATACAAAGAATGAATATTGGATCAGATATGAGCATACTTAGTACTGCTTTTTTATTGCATTCTCATGTGGAGAACTGCAGTTGTTTCTTTTTTCTTTTTTTTAGAGTTACAAAATATATACAGTGTACATAAACAAAAATATGCATGATCCAAAGTTGAACGTGCATTTCTTTTTTTCATCATTATGTATCATAGATTTCTTTAACATTTCTTTTCAAGATTATAATGCAATCATAACTTTCTCTAATTTAACTTTAATTTATAAATACGAAGGTACAAAATCATGTGCCGTTGCCGTCGTTTTTCCGTGGGAGCACGGGTCAACTTGGCTAAAACAAGTTTTAGAACTAGGATTGTCACTAAAAAGGGAACTATCTAATTTCCAATTTTGTATAAAGTTTGGATTGTTGATTAATCTTCATTGCCAACCTCGAACCAGAAGATATAGCAAACGTTTTTTCTCCCAATCTTTCTCTCTCTTTACTTTGCGTAATTGGAGGCGGATTCGTTCAAACCAATTTGTAATTGGTACAAACCGGTAAAGTGGTCACCAATACTAGCACAAAAATCGCCATTATTGTCAGAGATTTGAGTAATAAATAGCCTTGATTGGACTATTATCAGAGATGGATAGCTAGATAATTTCTAATAGACCCGACTGTCCAAAGAGTTAGCCACACGGTAAAGGCGACCCATTTACCCCACCCCCATGAGTTCGTTATTGTGCTCAACAGATGTAGAACAAAAGCGAGTTGTTTAGAAGCACTTCCTGTGGACGATGGATGGGCCGGACTCATCATATTCCTGCTTGCTGATCCACATCTGTTGGAAGGTGGAGAGAGAGGCAAGGATGGAGCCTCCGATCCATACGGAGTATTTCCTTTCTGGAGGAGCGATGATCTTGATCTTCATGGTTGGTGGGGCAAGGGCGGTGATCTCCTTCTGCATCCTGTCGGCGATTCCTGGGAACATGGTGGAGCCTCCAGACAGAACAGTGTTGGCGTACAGATCCTTACGGATGTCAACATCGCACTTCATGATGCTGTTGTAGCAGGTCTCGTGGATTCCAGCAGATTCCATTCCAAGGAAGGCTGGCTGGAAGAGGGCCTCTGGGCAACGGAATCGCTCGTTGCCAATGGTGATGACCTGTCCGTCGGGAAGCTCGTAGCTCTTCTCGAGGGAGGAGGATGAGGCAGCAGTCTGCATCTCCTGCTCAAAGTCAAGAGCAACGTAGCAGAGCTTCTCCTTGATGTCACGAACGATTTCACGCTCAGCTGCAAGATAGAAAAAACAATATGAAATTAGTTACGAATGAACAACAAAAAGCAACATTCACTTTCTACGATATTTATTGTCGATTATAGAACAAAACAAATGAACATGAATATCCTCCCTCTTAAGTTTTTTGTTTAGTTTAGCACAGAATGCAGGATATAGCTTTAACACTCTTTGAAATCATTATTTGTATATCTTACCGGTGGTGGTGAAAGAGTATCCACGCTCGGTAAGGATCTTCATCAGGTAGTCTGTGAGATCACGTCCAGCCAAGTCCAGACGGAGGATGGCGTGGGGAAGGGCGTAACCCTCGTAGATGGGCACTGTGTGTGAAACACCATCACCAGAGTCGAAAACGATACCAGTGGTACGACCAGAGGCGTAGAGGGAAAGCACAGCCTGGATGGCGACGTACATGGCGGGTGAGTTGAAGGTCTCGAACATGATCTGCAGAAGACATGAAAACAAAATGATTATTAATTACTGATTTCACTTCACTAATAGCAATAAGTTAAGTATTAAAAAGTTTTAACAGTTTACTTAAATCATTTGCTTATTGCCGTTCATTTCAAAAAGTTTTTCACTTGGGTACTATTAAATATTACAAATCTGCTAAAGATATTTGAATGTGAAAACATATTTCTTTTGGGAATTCGATTACATCAATAGGCATTTTGCTTGTTCTTACCTGTGTCATCTTTTCCCTGTTGGCCTTGGGGTTGAGGGGAGCCTCGGTAAGGAGGACGGGGTGCTCCTCTGGGGCAACACGGAGTTCATTGTAGAAGGTGTGATGCCAGATCTTCTCCATATCGTCCCAGTTGGTGACGATACCGTGCTCGATGGGGTACTTCAGGGTGAGGATACCTCTCTTGCTCTGGGCCTCGTCTCCGACGTAGCTGTCCTTCTGTCCCATACCGACCATGACACCCTGATGACGGGGTCTGCCAACGATGGATGGGAAGACGGCCCTTGGGGCATCGTCTCCGGCGAATCCGGCCTTCACCATACCGGATCCGTTGTCGATGACAAGAGCGGCAACATCGTCGTCACACATGATGATTGATTTCTGATTTTACTTACTATGAAAGACACACACAAAATAAAAACATCGTAAATTAACATGTCTGCAACAGGTATCACACAGAAAAGAGAAATCCCCTAACGAAGCAATTGCATAGCAAGAAAAAGATCTCTAAATACTAAAAATAGAAAAATATTAAAAGTGTCCTACGTTTTTATTCTAAACAAAGGGTAAGCGAAGTAAAATTCAGAGGATCGTACCTCCCCAATCCGTGAAACACACGTGGTTAGAACAAGCACCTACCCACCGCCCACCTACACAGAGTGAAAATGTTGCTCGCGCATGCCTGCTCCTATCCTTTACATGCCACGCCCCTCTGCAGGCAGCTCCAAAATTTATGAATAACCTCCAGGCGAAGCTAATTTGCATGCGATGCGGGGACCGACTTACAGCTAACACCCGAATATATTTCATGAATACTGTTTTACTAATAGATTTTAAACATTGAAACAAAAGAAAATGATCACTTAATACATCAATTTAAACTAAATCACCAAGCCTACAGGAAGTATGTCTCCAAAGAGCCACGCTTAACGATAACAAGTAACGAACTGTATAATTATATAACAAATTGTGCAACAACCAACAACTTCATTAGCATTCATCAACAAAAATTCAAATGTATTATGTAAGGTACATCAAAATAACAAACAAAACTGTAACAGGTAACGTTTTACAGCTCAATAGGTATAGTTAGCACCCAACGGATGTGTTGTTACAACACGATTTTCTAAAGCAGGAAACACAATTGAAATTACCAATATAAATAATCCTTTTTAAAGTCTATAGTTGATGTGCAACATCAAAAACAATTGAACAATATTAGAAGTATAGTAAAGATTTAGAAGCATTCGCAGTTTAGATACTCTTGATACTTCCGACTTCACTGCCACACCCCTATTATCTCAAACAAGGAAGTAAGATTTGGAGGAGTATATAATGCAATTCAGTTTTTAATTTCGCCCTAAAATATGATAGACAAGACGATTTTACAAAAGATTTACGGTTGATAAGGATACCAAAAAAAAAAAAAAAATGATCATTCAAATCCAACCCTAATCCCCGGATCCCCCATCCCAAATTCGGCGGCAGCGGCAAGCCTTCTATGGCCAATCAACGTACGCGTGGAAGCGTGTGTGAGGACAGTGGGCGTGGCAAGCTCGGACAAGAACAGGTGTCCAAACGGCAAAAAGACCGGCAAAAATCGAGCAATATCTCCTTCGATAAACATTCAATGAGCAACTTACAACTTAAACATAGTATAATTCTTACTAAGACATAAGACATAGAGTTACAATCATACAATCATACAATCATACATCAATTACAAGAAAATACACACAGATAATAAAATGAAGATAATTTCGAGACGATATTTACTCGGGTCGAAAAAAGCATCACAAACTCGGTAACGATCGAAGTACAATATCCTAATATGGAACAACCACTGACTGCAGCTGATTTCAAACTGCCCTTAGCTTTGCATGCGATGTGTATGGAGTATGATCCTGTAGATGAGCTAAGGAAATCGTAGGAAATCGTAGGAAATTCTTAAAGACTTACCGAAAGAGAGAGAGAATGATCACCACCTGCAAGTTTGCTTGGTTGAGGTTGGAATGAGGCTGAGGAGCAGGAGCAAGCAGGTATTATAATAATGACCGGAGTTGTACGTGAAACATATTTGACCATATAAGGAGAAATTTAGACGCATCGTATGCCTCGGCGCATTCATTAATATCCTTATCGGGGATCGCCTCAGAAAACCACCCGGCGTTTTTTTGTTTTACTCCACGCAGGTTCTGATTCGCACAAGTGGCTGATTTAAAGGTCACAAATACACGTGAGGCTAGCTCTCTCCATGTAGTATAGAGCTCACTTCCTTATAGAAGGGTTGTTTACGAATTATTGCATATAGATCAAGCACTCTACACCCCCCATTTCTTCTCTTTTTATCCCCCTTTTTGGCTATTTTCCTTTAACTTCTCTCCAAGGGTTTCGCATGAATATAACTAGTATAAATGTAACATGGAGATGTGAGCTTTTTTGCACTGTAGTACCCATTTGATTTCAAATTCTATGCTAATATGTAAGAAAGGAATTGCAAAACGAAATTCTCAGGCTATGTGTTTCCTATATATGCGAAATCCTTACAGAGAATTTATAGGAAAATAGCCAAAATGTAGATGTATTTTTCAGAAATTCTGCTATACCTCAGATTGTAGAGCAATAGCAAGCTAGATGTCTAAGGAACTTCAGGATTATAGGCGTGTCTATCATAATAGACAAACACAATTTGTTTTCAAGCTGAATGATACACAGCATAAAATGTGCACATTTCAATTCAATTCAATTCAATTCAATTTCGGTTTATTAATATCAACACAATGTACAATGCAGTAGTCCACGGACCAATCATACGATGTTTACATAATATGTGCATAAAAACAGGAATGATTATATAAATGTACAATAAAAATAATAAAAATAAAGTTATCATAATTGTTTATACCTCAAGTTATATACATTATGCTAAATGATGATAGATGGATGAACAACCTATAACAGTAACTTGAAATGTTGAACCAATTATTTTTTACTTGAATAAAAGTTTGGTCATAATAAAGGCTTTATTATCAGCGTGATATAACTCCCTGGTCATATGATTATACTTATGAATTCAATTCAGATAAACAAGTCGATTGAGGTCAAACCACGGACTCTCTCTCTCTCTCTCTCTCCCTCAGCCTTTTGCTAACTCTACAGGGAATTAGATGGGGTCAGGGCTACAGCTACCCAAATGGCTCTTTTATGAAATCTATACAAGTTTGACAACAGTATTAATAATTAATAATGTTAACAAAAATAATAATAGTAATGATAAGAAGAAGAAGAAGAAAGAGCAATATTGAATGATTGAATGAGGTAAAATTCTATTCATATCTTAGCACTTTGCTAACTCCTCACTCTACTGCAATAATGAACAAAATCTGACATGTTTTGTGGAGGAGTCTTACCAGAATTGAATCACGTGCTATAATAATTTACTTATACTCTTGGTATGGCCAGCTTGTTTCCCTTGTTTTAATAACACCCCCCCCCCCCCCACCCCCCTCCCCATGCCGACAAGTCAAAATGGTCATCATAATGGCCTTTAAGCATAATGGTATTGGATCAAGGAAGAGGAAATCAAGAATTACAGGAATCTTGGAGTGAGTGGGAAGAAAGCTTTTAATCTTCTTATAGGGGCTAATTTGGGTAGTTAACGTTATAAAAGAATAAATGGCATACGCATGTAATGCCTATCAAAGACATTATTCTCTCAAAGGTAAGTACTCGTCGGCCACTGCGACCAGTGAATACTTATTACACGCTTACTGCCCCTCCCCTTTTCAGCCTACACGGGGATTAGTCAGTAAAGTGATGACTGGTCCTCGATATTGATCTGTAGGCCAGTGGTGTATCATTTAAATGTATTCTAGGAATTGGAGTGAGGTATTCTGACAACACAATGGTAGAAAACAATGTCATGACTGTTTAGATCAATTATTGGTTTGCAAATCTTTCAGAAAGGTATAGCCTTTTGGTAGCCAACGAAATATTTGGCATTAAATTGTATCAACCAAAACAAATTGAGCCAAACAGCCGAAAAAGTTGGGATATTACTGTCTTACTATTTTATAGGCATATGCTGAACATATAATATTTAGGCCTACTCACACGCTAAAGACTTGCTTATATAATGTAATCGAAAATAACAGTTACTTCAGTTTCTCGACGGTGCATAATGTATCAGACTCGAGTATTGACCTTTGTTTAGAGTGCTATGATAAACACTGCTGTTTTTTTTTTTTTTCATTTTATTCTCTTTTGTTTAGATCAACAGTGGTGCAGATGGGAAGCTTATATAGTTTGCGAAACAAATTACCTTTATGCCTTCAGATCCACCCATAAGACATAAACAAGGCATTTAAATTCATTTCTGATAAAGTAATGTAATCTTCTTTTGAAAAACATTGATGCAGGCACTGATTTTCAAAATCAAATAAACCTTGCCTTAAAAATCGATGTTAGATGAGCATCGCACAACATCTCGAAAAATTATTGAATTAAATCAGGCTAAATTTAAACACGGTGTACATCTGTATATTCGCAGAGAAACGCCCATCGCACTACTGGCAGACTAGCATGTGTTTGGCCACTTGTTTTCCTCAACCTGCATTTCCTCGTGGCAGTGTAAAACCACACGCTCAATCTACGAGACACCCCAGACAGAGATAGAGAAAGAGAGACATAGGGAGAAAGAAGGATAGACTGGCCTTGTTTGGGCGTTTCACCACTTCCTGTGCGATCCCTGAATCCGTCCTCATGAATATGCATGCCGATAGCATATGGAAGTGAAATTGACACCCCCAGGGTTGCCCCCTATTATGCATATTCATAGCCATGCAAATGAGGTTCGCGGAAATAATAAGCTTTGTCTGCAAGTTCCGCATACAGACTCTTGTAGACGGTTGTTCGCACAAGGGATATGTGAGTTTACTAATATGGCATGGCGAGATGTAGGAGAGTGCATGAATTATTTTTTCCTCGCGTTGACCGACAAATAAGAGATAGACTGGGGTTCAACCATGTCGTGTGTGGAATATATCGAGAAAACCATTCTTGATGACGTCATCCTGAAATCATACCCGATACATACATAATTAATTGGGAAAAGGTAGTTTCCCTCCATATTCGGAGACAGAAAAATTTAAGCATTGGAAAGATGGGAGCGTTTAGGGAATTTCCAGGGGGTTTCGTCCATGTCCATTTTTGTTTACAAGGACCATGTTTTGTTCCTCTTTTTTTGTTTACAAGAATCATGTTTTGTTTCTCTTGAAAAGACAAGTTCCCTGTTGATGAGGCTCAACTTATGCATATTATTTTGTATGTACATATACAATTTAAACCTCTGTAGGCCTATGATATAATCTAGTTTTCCCATTTCTTACTGTAATTTACTAACAAATGTATCTCCCTTCCGTGTTGCTCTGTAGTAGTAGGGCTATATAAAATCATGTTGAAGATTTAGTTGTAGGTTATATGAGGTATTAGAAAGATGGAGCATGTGTCTATAATTATATTCCTTTTAACAATCGAAATCATAAATCTCTTAATTGCAAAAACAAAAAAACATGTGGTTAAAAAAATCAATAAAAACCTCCCAATATATAGCATTTACAAAATCTTAATAATTTGAATGTTATGTGGAAAACGAGATGTTAATTTAAAAAATATTGCCTCATTCCAGATTTTGCCGGCATATTTAGGGCTTATTCGGGCAACAAAGTGCTGTACTTTAAGCTTTTATGTTTTGTGAAATAATATATTTTCGATCAGAAATTACATTTGGAATGGGAAAGTTAATATTCGGGCAAGCGATGTCGGCCCCCCCCCCCCCCACACACACACTTCCCACCTATCCATCATGATGTTGGGCTGGCATTTATTAATAAACATTCAAGATGTATTTTGAGGTATGTTAGCAGCTGCATAATCACAATAACTTTCCTTAGTTAGCATTGAGATACAGTAAACCACCTGCCGGTGTGGTGTATGCCTTATATTATCATGGTTTATCATTATGACTTGAAATACATTAAAACTAAATAGGATAGGGAGGGCAGAAGTGGATCCGATTCGTTATATTGAATAGAGGGGGTACACCCCTCCACTGCCCCTAAACTCATACGTGCCAGCTTATTTATCATATTTCTTAACAAATAGGGCGGGCACATCATGTATTTCCTTTGGATACGCCTCGTACTGGAAAGTTGGATGGAGAGAGACGGGGGGGGGGGGGGAGGCATACGAACACAATGTTTCCAGGGGCTTTGGTCACTTGCTCAAATAGCCTTTCCAATTCTTAAATGAGCAAGCGAGAAAACATTGCAGCTTTTTTTAGTGATTACTCGTCCCCCCCCCCCCCCCTTCCTTACTGGGGTGCATTTTGAGTATCACTTTATATTATAAAGTTTAAAGTGATTGTGTAATTGAAATGTTTTGCAAGATATATATGAATATAATATGACCATCCCGTAGCCCATTTTATAGGGGCGGGGCTGAATCAAAAGCCCCCTCCCTACCAGATACAGAGAACACACACATTATAATGCCATTGGGGAGAAATAACATTGACACAGTGTTCAGTGCCTGGTTCCAATCCGCGAATTCAATTTAAAAGACTGAAATCTTATTTGAATGTCTTCTACCTTGAATTGACCATGAAATAGACATGCATTCATTTGATGAGGGTATACTTTTCTGAAAGACGGAACAAACAGATTAAATTAATAACATTAATGATTCGAAGACCGATGAATTAAATCATGAAGTAGACCGACGGTTATCAGCTGGTACACTGCTAATTTCATTTGCACCAACATTGAAAACGATTATTTAATTGTAGCCAGGCTTTATATGGTGGGCGTGAATGTGAGAAGAAAAGTTATTTGGTAATGTTTGAAAGTGGGCCGAATTTCTTGATAATTGTTTACATAAAATAATGATTGAATTGATTAAGAATGTTCAGTTATAATGAATTTCTAGAACTGCAAGAAAGCGAAGTATATAAAACGAATCCAATTAATGATCTCCGTTATGAACAAAAAGAGCATCGGGTGGGGGATGAAGA